TTTTTACATTTAAAGTACTTTCAGAAGTTTGCATTCTGAATATAACTGGACTTCTCCTTTAATACATCTGCCTCCTAGAGTTTTCAGTTACATCTATGCCTATAGGGGTAAGACAATCTTTAGGTTACATAATCATATCTATTTAAAAGGTCAACAGGATTGTTGTCCCTCTGATTGTCAAGTACAGAAACAAAGATTTTACAAAGTGAACTGACCTGAAAACACCAATGAGTCTTCAAACCAGTTGGGCAAGTTAAGAGCCTCTGGTTTGCTTTTATTAAATGGTGCATATTTCCTGCATGTGAATATTTTTAACTTATCCTGCATAAAGAAATACGAGAGAGAGTGACATTCACATGTATCCCTGTCCTCTAAAACAACTATATGAAATTTCAGGACAGCCTAAAGAAGAATATGTTTGTATTGACAAACCATGGGGATGTATTACTGTTACTCCATCCACTTTGGATTCTGCTCCTTTTTCTTGCCGCTCTTCCATATGGGCCAGTTCTATGAAGTTGTATTTATTTTCCCCTGAGGAGATTCTCTCAGCTGAGCTGTAGATCTTGTGCTCTTTGTTAGTTCTCTGACCATCACTACCTTTATCTTGAAGTTTAAAGTGTTGCATCAACTTAGACAACTTTTATTGTCGTTTTGTATACACAGAGTGTATGCAAAATGACAGCTTTCATAACATTTCCATTCTATAAAGTGCAGCAGTGAAGGTGGTGAAGGTGGTGAGGATGGGTTGGGGCAGGTGGGCTCTCCTCATCCTCTGCAGGAAATACATGCGTTTCTGTGCCCTTTTGATCAGTGAGGTGGTGTTTACATTCCAGGTGAGGGTGTCTGTGACGTGCACCCCCAGGACTTTGGTGCTTATAACCAGTGGAGCGTGATTAGGACGGTTCTTCCTGAAGTCCAAGATGATCTCCTTCGTCTTCTCCACACTCAGGATCAGGCTGTTATCTCTGCACCAGTCCACCAGCTGCTCCACCTTCTCTATGTTGTCGTCTCTGATGAGGCCCACCACCCTGGTGTCGTCTGGAATTGTTGCACATTTTGAATTGAAAAAGCTTCCTGGACTGGAAGCGAAATGTCTTCAAACTTGGAAACAAAGTCCAGTGATTTTTTTCTAAATTTTCTGGAATGACTGTGACCTGGATGACTGAGAATCTTCACCAGCAATATCAAGAAGTAACTTATAGAATCATGGGCGGTTCTAGACAGGGGCCAATGGGGGCCAGATCATGTCCTCGCCCCTGATAAGGCCCCTGTACTGAAGACATAGTACTCAAAGAAATTCTAATGATGATATGCGCTGGAAAAGACATGGTTACTGATAGGTGCTTTGGATCTATTTCATTTTTTTCCTTTACAAATTCTGTTTTACTAATTATTTAGAAGCATTAAGGTGATAGCTCTAGTGCTATTAAGATAGGATCCCAGTTTTTATCTGCTAAATGTTTTTTCAAAACAAATTAAGAAATATAATCTAATTCAGATTTTATAGAAAATTGTAATTTTAACTTAAATCAAATTAACTCTGATGGCTGGCCTTAATTGCTCGTTTTTTTCACCTGCCTAGTTCTTCCCCGTTCTTAATGATCTCTGATCTCATCCACCTGTAGGTTCTGCTTTATATTCGGTCTAGCCCAGCTATCGGGGCCAGATCATTGTTCTCTATCTGTTAGTTCCCTGTTTGCCTTCTGTT